TACGCTTGAAATGCACCAGGTGGAGTCCACCATATTGCTTTCCAAAATCGACCGAATTTAATTTGGCTGCAAACATAGTCCGCATTGTATAACCCACCTGTTCGTTCCATTTCCATTTTATAACATCACAACCCGGCGAACATTTAGCCAAAATTGCAACATCGCACATCGTCCGTCCGCCCGTACATAACCTTGACGCCTGATGGTATGTCAAATCGGTACTCTGCGCTGCGCCTACTAGGTTCTGCACCGTCGGGGTTAACCTCAATCTGATGACAGTTCAGTGGTACTGTTTACGTGGACTTAGTCGATTTTTCTTGGTTGGATTTTCTCGATAATTTTTCGGACTGCAGTGAGATGTAAACCACATTTCTGCAATGTTCACGAGCAACATCCTTGCAACGCGCTGTTCCTCGACAATTTTCAAGTTAAAATTCGTAAATTTTAGATTTTTTTTTTTCGAAAAAACGACTAAGTGCTTGTAAACAGTACCACTGAACTGTCAAAAAAGTTCAGCCGATTAACACTGAGTTCATTCGTGACGTCACGGTGCAGAACCTAACTCTCCTATACACTCGGAATTGATAAAAGTTGCCAAAACCATTCATTCAATGGAAATGCTAATCAATGCGATTCGACGACGACGCACCTGTTCTTTTTTGTTTTTCTTTGGACAGGAGCTGATCGTTAAACACATCACCGCGACAAGTCGCACATATTAAGTGGAGTTTGATTAGCTGGATTAGGTGTGTGTTAATGGCTGCTGTTATTTTTTTTTTTCGGCGTGGATTTTGAATTATCGTGCTTGGTTCAGGGTCGATCAAAAACATTATTTATTGTTCTGATAGAATGCAAGGGGGTTTGAAAAGTGACAACAATTATAATCAATGTTTTCGCTTTTGTTTATGGCCGTTGTGTGACGAAAGTGCAGCTGTCAAATGTTGGTGCAGATATTCAGGCGATGAATCCTTGCTTGGATGGAAATAAAAATACTCGTCCGTCGGACGACGAGCAACCGAGCTGTCACGTATAAATTGCAGTCATGTAAAACCTTGATTAATTCACTTCAACCCGGGGCCGTTCGTCATCGGGGTGCTTTTCGCAAAAAGATCCAGCAGCGGGGGGACCGTACGAAACATAAATTTAATTTACGAGTTTATGAGTGCGTTTATAATGCGATTTGGTCAATCTCTGATGAGCGTGCTCCACCCGCGGCGTGACTCACTCCTTGTCGCAGTTCGGACCTTGTTGACTACTCTGAGAACGCATTGAATTCATTTGACACATGTTGCTGGCAGTTGGGGGGAGGGCACTTAAAGTGCCAATAAAAACTGACTCTTCCGCGAGAGCACGCTCGCGCCCATGATTGTAACAAATCGGGTGACATCTATATTTCATTTCCACTCCGCTTGTCAGATTGTACGCCGTTGGTCGCCTATAAATAATCGCGATGACACGCGCGGCCAACTTGGATGAGATTGCGAGCATGCGAGTGAGTGAGCCGGACAGGCGCGTGAAAATTTGCACTCAAATTGAAGTGAAAATGAAGCTATTTCTCGATCTTCCTCATCACCTGGTCTCTGGTGACCATCCAGTGGTGTCTTCAGCGTCGTCGTCGTCGTCGCCCCCACTTTTCGCACTGCATCATAGGAAAGCTACCATCATCGGTCCATGCAGTCCCACGAGTCCGGTAGCTAACGTTTCGGACGTGATCAAATTATAAATAGTCACGCGCGTTCCAGCAGCAGCGCCGTCGTCGTCAGCATGCAAGCCAACTACGTTTTATACTAATTTTTCCCATTCTGGCTGCTTGTTTTGTTATTGTTTTTAGATTCTTGTCATACGCGCGCCGTTACTGTTTGTTGCTGTTGCACCTCCGCTCGTCGGTTGCTGGAGGAACGGGGTTTTATTAGTTTCTCAAAACAATATTTGAATTTCTCAACCCAACCGAGCGCAATCGCTGCTTGCTCCCATTTGTTCAACGCCGAGGGGTCGCCCATTGGATTTTATGTCCGACGGAAGTTGTCTTCATCATTCAAGTCTCTGTAAGAAGAACGCATAGCATGCCTTATTTATAACTCTCCCCCACCCCCTCCCAAAGTCCGTCCGGAGAGCGCGGGCACTAATGTGGCCCATTTGCTTGCGGTACGCATAATCGTTGTTGTCGTCGTCGTCGTCGTCGTCGTTCCCCCCAAACATTGTGTGTATTAGGATTAATAAGATGGAAAGTGAGGTTAGGAGGAGCAGGGGCAGGGGTAGTGCACAGGTTAATGGAATAACATATTTAGCGCTTCTCGGCTCGGTCGAGGCAGTTAGGCAAAAGGAATCGTTTTTACGAGCTCTTCCTGGGTTGGGTGCGCGCATTTAGAGAAGACATCAGCGAGTTCTCTGTGATCTATAATAGAGAGAAAGAGAGAGGGGTAAGACACTGCCTCCTACTGCTGCAGTCAAACAAATTTATTGTTTATTTACGAGCGTGACACGCGGTTGCGAGGAGCAACATTGGGTAGGGGTCGGAAATGTCAAACGATCGCCGATGATGGCTGGTTCGTTGGTGGAAGGCCGCGGTTGTGGATTGAATATAAACTGTCAAAACTCGTGCTTGATTAGGTGTCGGGATGCATGGTGATTTAATTGCTTTTGTTTTCAGCGCTGGTTTTTGTTTGTTTAGCTTGTGGCCTTTTGACAGGTTTAGTAGGGGGACGTAATAAATCACGCGATCGAGTGCATTGGGACGGATAGAGGACGGCGTCGTCGTCGATATTATTCACTCTTTGGTACTGATTTCTAACGATTGTTGACTAGTACCTGGATGTTTAATGTTTCATGAACGAGTTGTTTAGTCTTTCCACTGCTGATCCACAGAAAACTTCTCATTTAAGGCCTGTATAGAGATAGGAGCGAAATGAAAATCTCATACAAAATACCACATTTTTCACCTGCGTGAAAAACGCAATTCGCAAATATTTCACTTCGCTTAGAAGAACTGTTCTCGATACGATCCAGCGGAATCGAGTTTTGTGGAACGCATCTTTTTCAAAAAGAACAGCTTCTAAGCGAAAAGTTGACGTTCCGAGAAAGAGCGCATCTGTCAGATTTTCACTTTACCGAAGGTGTAAACTGATCGCTTTTGTTTCACGTGAACTGTGAACTGCGAAAAGAGGAAATTGGAAAAAGTTCCACAGCAACCATTTTTTCACAACCTTTTCGCTAGCGAAATTTCAAAATTTTTCACTTGCTTCAAATTTTACTTTACTTTGAACTGTATACTATAGATCAGTGCACTTAACCTCACTTTTTGGTTCCAATCATTTTTTTTCTCTGTGTAAAAGAGATGACAACGAATGGGAGCCAAAACAAACCACACAAAACTGTCAAAATTTAAGTAGTAAATTTAGTAAAGTCGGCAAGGGGTAAGTCACTCAGCACAGTGTGCCGAAAGTAGATTCGGCACACCTTCGGCACAATCTCGTAGGTATTGGATTGTTCATTAAATAAAATGGGAGCACTGCTGGACAGCTGTCATTGAAGTTGTTCACAACACTACGTCCTGTTTGACTGTGTATTATAGAAACTTACCAGCAATTCACTTCTCGGTTCACATTTTAATTCGAAATGTAGGTTTCCGAGGGCTGTCGATTGCTATCGATGCCGGTCACAAGTCTTTCATCTACTACGCAAATGGAGTGTACTACGAACCGGAATGCAAGAACAATTTTGATGGATTGGATCATGCAGTGGTGGCAGACTGATACGGAAAACTCAAAGGAGAAGATTACTGGCTAGTCAAGAACTCTTGGTCGAACTACTGGGGCAACGATGAATATGTTTTGATGGCGGTGAAGGGTAGCAACTGTGACCTCCGAGAGCTTCTTGCCCGGAATCATCACTTTCAGCAGTTCATCTTCCAGATTGAGCAGCAACGTTCGGACGACATTGGAGCAGTGAGGCTTGTAACGCGCACCCAGAGCACAGATGATCGATCCGAAGTGCAGATGGTTCTTATCGCTGAATGCACTGAACGCTGAATGCAAGCCTAATTGATGGAGATAACCTCGGAGTCCTCCTTGGAGCACATGATGTACCCGATTGGGACGCTGATTTCCACCGTATCGAAGCTCTTGCCCTTGACGAAGGCTCGCCACAATTCACAGAATAACCCGGGAAGTGGTCCTTGGAGAAGACGCCCAACGGTTTGCCATCCTTGGATCTCTTAATCGCCTCCAGCAGCATGTCGAAATTGACCTTGTCTTTGTCGTTCTTATCCCGAACCAACAGCTTCACCGACGGAGTGCCCTCCTCACCGTCTTTCTAGATCTGCTCAAGAAGTCGATCTTCTTCTTGTTGCTCAGCACCGTAATCGTATCGGTTAGCTGGTATCCCAGCAGCCAGGTCTGCTGCGAAGTGGTCCTTCTAGTTGGCGTAGAGGCGTTTTATTCGTCAGTAGAAAGAATCCTTATCGAGCACGATATTCGACATTTTCGGGGCCGTTCAATCATCGCATCCAACGGTTTTCAATGCGGGGACATTTCCGGTTGCTCTTCGATTTTTTTTATATTTGTTGTGTCCTGTTGGACGACTGAGACCGCTCTAACTCGCCTTGGTTGTTGCTAGACCGATGTCAACATTGCGATTGCAAACCAAAATATTCAACCTGTCAGAAATATCGCGTTGCCAAATGTACCATTATATTCGTATTTTACAAAAAATCACAGCTTGCTCTATGACCGGCACAATTGACACACCAGCGGCACACTGAGAAAAATGTTGACCCAAGATTGGTGTGCGGAGTGACCTACCCCTTGAAAGTAGGACATAATCTTTAAAGAATTTAAGTGAAAATGTCAAACGGTGTTAAAATGTAAAATTTTAAATGTTACCATTATGAATTCACCATGCCGAACGTCATCCGCCTTTGGTTATTGGAACTCCCACCCAAATCGCAAAACCCAATAATCAAAATCACATCGATTAAAGGAACCCTCTTGTTGCATCCACAGGCCTCGGTCTCACCTCGGAGTACTTCAACGCACGAAACGCCATCGCCGACCTGCACCCGGCCAGTTCGCTGGCCAGCGCCGACTTCCACTTCAGCATCGATGCCGCCAACCGGCTCAACTCGCCCCGGCCGGGCAGCATACGGGCCAGCGTGAGCCGCAAGCGTGCCCTCTCCACGTCGCCATACTCGGACTCGTTCGACATCAGCTCGATGATCCGCTATTCGCCCAATTCGCTGGCATCGCTGGTGAATGCCTCGCGCAGCAGCAGTGCCAGCGGATCGTACGGTCACCTGTCGGCGAGTGCCCTCGCACCGGCACTCGGCGTCCACGGTGGAATGCCACCGCATCTGCAGCATCTGCTTCGGAGTAGTGGGTTCCTGCATACGCTTCCCGGTCATCATCCTCCTACGGCCAGTATGTTCTCGCTGCCACCGCATCACCCACTGCATCCGGGACATTCGCTCAGTAAACCGCAGGTAAGCTCCCTACATTCCAATCCAAATAGGACTATTCTAACGAAATCCCCGAATTGCAGCAAATCGCCGATCTCTCGAGTAAGAAGCCGGAACAGCCGAGCTCGACGAATCAGGTGGCCCGCGTCGAGGCGGACAGCGCGACTAATGCCCAGCAGAAGAAATCCCGCATCAAGCGGGAACCGTCCCAGAACGTTCCGATGCACAAGGGGAGTCCTCCGCACGGTTCCCCGATGATTACCTCCAACCATCAGTTGAGTCCGACGTCGACGCAGGGCATGACCAACGGTACCAACAGCATTTCAACTGGTGCGACCTCGACGACCCACCACCACCATCATCACCACCACCACATGAATGGAGGAACCGGGACGACGGGAGGATCGCACTCCGGACTCAATCTGAGTCCGATGCACACGATGATGGACGGTGGCTGCGGGCTGGGCGGTTCCAAGGTGGACTCAACCGATCCAAAGGATGAACCGGGAGATTTCATTGAAACCAACTGCCACTGGAGGGACTGCTCGCTGGAGTTCAACACCCAGGACGAACTGGTGAAGCACATCAACAACGACCACATCCACGCGAATAAGAAATCGTTCGTGTGCCGATGGGAGGAATGCTCCCGGGACGAGAAACCATTCAAGGCGCAGTACATGCTGGTGGTTCACATGCGAAGGCACACGGGGGAAAAGCCCCACAAGTGCACGGTAAGTTTTCGATCTACTTGGTCCGGGTGTTGGAACTGGGATATTGAAGGGTTTTTCTTCGGCTACTTACAGTTTGAAGGCTGCTGCAAGGCGTACTCCCGGCTGGAGAATCTGAAGACGCATCTGAGGTCGCACACGGGCGAGAAACCGTACACGTGCGAGTATCCGGGCTGCAGCAAGGCGTTCAGCAACGCTTCCGACCGGGCCAAGCATCAGAACCGGACCCACAGCAATGAGGTGAGTGACTGAAAACTTCGAACGCAAAGAGACGAAATGAGGTTAGGTCCATGTGCAGGAACCCACCATTTTGGTTTCTAAACCAATATCTTCTTCTTCTTATCTGTTTGAGCTATCATTTGCCAGCTCCGGGGCAAGGGCAAAATGGAACGAGCTTTAAAGCCCTGTGGTTTACAACAATCTCGAAGTGCTAACAAATAATAATTCTTGTACTTGTCAAACTTCAGTCAAAATCCCGCCACAAAACATCTTGCAAAATGAAAACAATGATGAAACATATCCATCACTTTGGTTTCTAAAACTATCTCGAAAAACAGTCTCCGGAAACTAAAAACTTCCGTCATTTTGAAGAAAATGTGCACCATTTTGAAAGTCAAATAGAATTTTGGAGAATCCACTTGAAAATTCCTTTCGATGCCCGCCGTCATCACCTTCAAAAGAATATCCCCCGGATGTTGAAAATACATCCACAATCCCGAGACGCTACACCTAAATCCCGCTTCAAGATATTCCCCATTTGGACCAATTTGCCGAACACCAAGGCCAGGAAGACAATCACTACAGCATCCACCCAACAAAAAAAAACCCCATTCCAGAAACCCTACGTCTGCAAAGCCCCGGGTTGCACCAAGCGCTACACGGATCCCAGCTCGCTGCGGAAGCACGTCAAGACGGTTCACGGGGCGGAGTTCTACGCCAACAAGAAGCACAAGGGCAACGGGCATCATCACCACCATCACCACGGCGGCAGCGGAGGCAGCGGCCACGGAGGCCACGGCAGCGGTGGGGACGGCGGAGACGACGGCGAAGGATCCAATCACATGTTCGACGGCAGTCCCCGGAGCGAAGACATGCAGAGCGGCAAGACGACGAGCATGAGCAGCCCGAGCATCAAGTCGGAATCGGATGCCCACTCGCCGGGACAACCGCCGATCAACAGTCCGATGTCGATTTCGGCCCTCACCGCTGGGTTGGTCGATGACTACGACGGGAGCAGTATGCAGCTGGGAAGTCTCGGAGCGATCGACGATCCCGCGTGGCCCTACGTCGATGAGGATCTTGAGGTAAGTTTGCTTCGGAAAATTGTGTTGAACTCGCCGTTATTGACCCGTTTGCTTTCCCCCCACAGGTCGCCGACTTGCCGTACGTCCTGCGGGAAATGGTTGACCTGGGAGGTCCCACTGCGGCAACTGCCACGGCTGGAACCCGCGGCAGTGGCCCGAGGAATCGCTTCAAAAACCGCATCAACATCAAGGGATCTCTGATGAGCAACCCACTGTCCAACATCCCGGAGATCAACAACCACCGGAACTTTGGTCTGATTGAACTGAACCGACGGATCACCGATCTCAAGATGGAACCGGGAACGACTCCACCTCCGCAACCATCACCGATCTCCAAGAACTGTCAGACTGATCTGGGCAGCCTGCGGCCCCCGACGGGCCCGGTCTGTACCAACACGATGATGACCAACGCGTACCTCAATCCGGGTCAACTGCGACGGGACAGCAACAACAGTACAACCAGCAGTTCGTACTACAGCATGCGATCGGCGGACATTAGCCGGCGAAGCAGTCAAGCCTCGCAGCAGAGCTCGATCTCGACCATGCGCCCCACCAGTTACTACAACTCGTCCTTCTACGATCCGATCTCACCGGGCAGCTCGCGAAGGTCCAGTTCGATGTCGACCGCTACAAATGGTGGCCAAAGTTTGCCACCACCTCCGTCCTCGCATTTGATCTCAACGCATCTGCAGCGCTTCAACACCACCCAGAACTCTATGGGTAGCCATCATCCTGCGGCTGGAAGCTCACGGCATTCGATTCCGAACAACATGAGCGGCGGAAGCTACTACCATCAGCAGCAGATGCTGGGCCAGACGGACAGGAGAATGTCCGAGCCAGTTACCGGAAACCAACACGCCGGTCACTACGGCACGGGTCCAGGATTTGTTGGACGCCCAAGTTCTACGGTTCCGAAAAGCAGTACAATCACGTCCGGAGCAGCAGCGGCAACCGCTGGTGCTCCCGCCAAGATCCCCTCACCAGCTACCAACAAACTTCACCCGAATCAGGAAGTGGTCCTGGATGAGGTCGAAGAAGGTGAAATGGTCGAAAACAAGCTGGTCATTCCGGATGAGATGTTGCAGTACTTGAACCAGGTTGCCGACCAGGAAAGCAAGGTCACTGTTCAACAAGGAATGTCCACACCGAACTCGGCAACTGCTCCAACGGAAGGTTCCGGGTGGAACCCAACCGAAAACTCCCCTCCGAGATACTCCGGGATGCAACCTCGCCAGCAGCAGCCACCTGCCAGTTTTAACCAGCCGCAGTCGAAACTGAACAAGGTCCTGATGAGTCCTCAGTCCCAGTACAGCAACGATGACTGCAGCATGATGAGCAACGTGATGTCTCCCCAGACTCCGCAGCACCAGATGATGTCCCCGATGATGCCGGCCGAGAGTGCCGTAGGTCCTCTGACCCCATCCAACTACGGACCTCAACCGCAACCGCAGCAACCGAACACCCCTCCCGTACAGTGCCAAATGCAGAACTTCAACAACAACAACAACGGTCAAAACTTCAACAACAACAACAGCAACTTCCCTCTGAATCAACCGCCGCAACTCCGACAAATCGCCTGCTCGAACCTGATCGGTTACTTCCACCGAACGGACCAGAGCGCACACCACTGCTGCCTAGCGATGATGATGCAGGGATCGCTGCACATCAACCAACCGTCCGGATCATCGACCGCACAAGCCAGCACCAACTCCCAACAGTACAAAAACCCCTTCAGCTTCAACTCCAACACCTTCCCGGCCCCATGCCAACAAACGCAACCAGCTCCCACCCAGCAAACCTCCCCCAATCCCGTCGACGTGGAGATCCAGTGCGGCGACATCAGCCAATCCCAACTTTCCCCTCCCGTTAACAATCCTGCCAACCCATCACCCTCCACCCCTAGCCAACCCCAATCCCAAGCCCCTCCGAAACCCATGGAAAGCAGCCTGCAAACTCCTCCCCTCCCGTCAACCCCCACGGGTTTCGGTGAACCTCCAGCTCCTACCGCTACCGTCGCTACACCCACGGTAGCTTCTCCTCCTGCAGCAGCCGCAGCTGCTACTGCGGCAGCGGCTCCCGGAACCATGGGTTCGGACACCTACCAGCGCACCCTGGAGTACGTGCAAAACTGCCAAAATTGGGTGGAATCCGCGGCGGACATGGTCAGCAGCAGCACCCACCCTACGGGAACGACCGGTGCCACGGCAACAGCAGCAACGACGACAGCGCCGCCACCTCCTCCTCCAACGGCAGCAGCCGCAGCTGCTGCTGCATCCTCGAATCTGGTGATCAACGACATGAGCACCTCCCTCAGCTCGTACTTCGAGGAGGATCGCTACCTGCAGATGATACAGTGAATGCTCGTTTCTTTTTTTTTTTTTAGATAAATTTTGTTTCGTTCTTCCAAACTCATTGATTGAGACTTACTAGTTTTGTTTTCGAATTAGGTTAGGTTAGGCTTTCATTTTTTTTTTACTCTTCTCAGTGATCGCAAGCCGTAGTTTATGTAGAAGTAGTGTGAAACGGACGTGAAGATTTCATTCGGTGTGTAGAAAATTTTTCGACGATTATCTCTTCTATAGGCCTACTAGGTGATAAGGAAGCGCATTTTGTAGCCATGTAAGATTTTTTGTTTGTTTGTTTCGAGACGATGAGAACAAAGACGATAGATTTCCTGTAATTTGAGTTTATGTGCATTTTTTTTAGAGGGTGACGCAGCGACATTTTTCGCTAGACATTAGGCATGTGTGTCATTTACTTAAGCGACGGTAAGTGACTGTAATTATATAGATGAATTATTACGATGAGCGGAATGTGACGCGAAGAAAAGTGAATATTTTCGTTATTGAAAACAATTCGAACTGGATGACATGAGCGTGCATGGACCCATACGATTGAGGAGCAAGAGAGTCTTAGAAATTAGCGATATAAAGAGACAGCGAAGTAGACTTATTTTTTGTAAAGAATTTCGTTTCGTATGTTTTTTTTTCTGTTCTCGTGGTCCTATTTTGTAAATAACTGTCCCGATTAGTGCAGTTAAGAGAGATTCAAGACAATTGATGAATAAATTAATGGTTATGTCCTAATAAAAAGTATGGCATCGTGTGTTTTTGTTACCCGAAATTCTCCTTTCAGTGATTGAAACAGTTTAGGGCTGCGCTTCCGTCATCGGAAGAGAGACTTGAACGAGCGTCAAACGAGTAACCGCATCACGAATGAATTTATCCTACTGACGATGTTTGGGTCCCAAACCTCAAAATGGTGTGTGAGCGAAAGCGATCAAATGGGGGACGATGATGAAAAAGCTCTTGTTTGAATACCGTCTCGAATGAACTAAATTCTCCTCTACCAAGGGAACAATTTAAAGAGACGTTAATAACCTAAGCCAAAACCTCGAAAGAACCGCTCATGTTCAAACGAGCGAAAATTATCCTAAAATTGTTTGGTTCAGATTTTAACATACTGCCAAATTTATTTCCTCGAAATGGGCTGCTGTGAAATGTCGTACAACCGAAACGCATATCAAAAGTATACCAATTATTGAATGCATTCAAAGTGCATCGATATGCATCTAACTCAACAGATGGCGAATGAGAACGACCCGAATTTGAGTTTAGTTCACTCATAATTGCCAAAAGTGCAGGTACGCAGCGATGAGTAAATTTGCCTCATGTTTCCTGTGGAAAACCTAAAAAATCTTCCGGAAAATTAACGAAAACTTTATTCATTCCAGGAGAAGTGCTAATAATAGACTGAGTGAAACCCATCTTTACTTGTCTCATATTCGGAAAGTTTTTCCTGGACAAACCTGGAAAAACATGAGGCAAATTTACTCATCGCTGAGTTCCTGCAATTTATGTGATTTATGAGTTAACTAAACTCAAATTTGGGTCGTTCTCATTCGCCGTGTGGCATTTGCCACTAAACAATTCCAGTGGGGCAGGAAAATTGCTCCAATGTTCCTTGAATTGTCCGTCTTATTAACTCCTTGAATTTTTTCTCAAATTCCACAAAGCTTCATCAACTTCTTCCAAGTTCCATAATTACAAGATCTCAGAATATTCCTGATCTTCTCCAAACTTCAGCAAAGACCTTGAACCTTATCTACGATTTTTTTCTAAACATTTGGGCGAAACAGAAATCCCAAAAGTTAAAGTTAAATCCCAAATCAAACCCTGAAGTTCAAAGTTCTCTGCACTTGTACGAAGTTCGCTGGACCTCTACTACTTTGGCTGAACTTCTGCATTCCTAGGATTTAAAAAAATTCGAACACTGTGGATTGTTTGCTTGTCTTCTACAATGTTCTCAGAGTTACTATTAAGTTCACAGCAATTGTACAAAGTTCCCTGAACTTTTTAGAATTTCGTTTATGTTCTGCGAAGTTCCTTGAAGTTCTACAATGTTTGCTGAATTTCCACGGAACTGCCTGATCTATTTAATGAAGCGCTCTGGAGTTAAAGCTATGTCCATTTAGAATCCGGAATAATAAAATCATCTGTATTTCGGTAACGAATTGACGTAAAAATAAGGTTAATACATCAAAACAAAGGTCAACTCCATGTCCATTCTCCTTAATTTTCATGACACGAGAACCAACATACGCCGTGAGCTTCTGACTCGTCTTCAACCAACTCAAGCAGATTTTAGAATCGGTCCAGAAGTACTGCATATTCACTTCTATTTTTAGTTCGTCTTAAACTACCTTCATCATTTGACTTGCAAGAACACACCCTTGAAGCTCAAGTCGTGGTACCGTCGATGATTTCAGTGGAGCAACTCTTGCCTTGGCATACACCAATGCAACATGTGACTTGCCGTTTCGACGATGAACCATGTAAATCACACATGCAAAAGCCTTATCGCTTGCGTCACAGAAAGCATGCAGCTCAGCATCGGCAAAGGACGATACCTCCGGGAAGTAGCACCTCGCAACACGTATTTCTTCCAGCTTAGCAGTTTCGCTCAACCACTCCATCCATTTCGGGACCAGGCTATCAGGAATTTCGTCGTCCCATCCGGATTGCAACCGCCACAGTTCTTGGAACATAAGCTTCAGGTGTATCGTAATCGGACTGAGCAAACACAATGGATCGAAGATGCTCATCATAAACTTCAGCAGCTGCCGTTTGGTAGGCACCGTGCCACCAGTACGGAAGTTCTCATCCAGTTTTGGAAAATCCAACGGAAACACAAATTCATCTGAAAGAAGATCCCACCTGATACCGAGTACACGAGTGTCACTTCCTTTCTTCTCGGCTACTAAAGAAGGGTCAAGCGAATCCAGAAGAGTTTCAGAGTTCGATGCAAATTTCACCAGTTTGAATCCTCCGTGATCATGTGCCTTCACCACTCGCTGCACCAGTTCAATGGCTTCTTCCTCCGTGTCCGCGCAATCAAAATAGTCATCGACGTAGTGTTGTTCCAGCACAGCTCGTTCAACGCCAGGGTACTTTTCTTCCAGTTCCATTGCATTGAAGTTTTTGATGAATTGTGCCATCGAAGGAGAAGACACAGCGCCAAATATCATCACCATCATAATGTATACGCTGGAGGGGCTAGAGCGATCCATACCACGGAAAAAGAAACGCTGGGAGTCCTGATCCAATCTACGAATGATGACTTGATGGACCATCTCTATAATGTCCGCCACAAAAGCAATCTTCTTCTTCCTAGCGCGCATCAGGATCACAATCAATGCGGGAACGAAATCAGGACCTTTCAGTAGCAGATCGTTCAACGAAAATCCGTGAGATTTGGCCTTGGCGTCCATAACCAATCGGAACTTATCGGCAGTTACCACGCTGAAGTGAGGTAAATACCAGGTGTTCGGTGTTTCAGCAAGTTCTTCAGGCTCCAGTTTTCGAGCATATCCCTTCTCCACGTAGTCCTGGATCTTACTACAGTATTTCTCAGCGAAATCAGGATCGGAATCCATCTTCTTCTCGGTGATTTGAAGTCGACGCAGTGCATGTGGCTTGCTATCCGGAAAAGCGAAGTTATTGTACTTGTAGATCTGTCCTACCTCAAAGCGTTCTCCTCGTCGCGTGATTGTACGGTTCATTATATCCAGTGCACGTTGATCTTCGTCTGGTATCTTCGGGGACTGACCAGTCTTCCACCTTGTACATCTGTTTCACCAGATCCGTTAGCTCGGTGTCATCGTCTTCAGAACACATCAGGAAAGCATGATGATCGTTTGATCCAGCAGCGTTCGGTTCAATTACTCCGTGAATCGTCCAACCCAGATGGCACCGAGTCAACTGCAAACCGTTCAGTGAGTATTGCACCGTCTTCAGGGGTACAATCAGACCAGCGTTGTTCGAACCAATCAGCATACAGGGACGAGCATCTTGTATTGCAGCCAGTTTATCCTCATCCAACATCGAGTACAACAGCTTTACTCTGTCAACGTCAAATTTAACCCGTGGCAAGTCGATGTTCTGCACCGTGCGAATATTGTTTGCCACGAACCATTTCGCTTGTTCCGACGGTCCAGAGATTTGGAAAGATAACATCATCGAATGTTCCTCCTTGTGCGAAATGCCGTTAGTCCATCTATAATTCACGGAAGAGATCGGCCCTTGCATTCCAATCCTCGTCGCTACAGCAGCATCCATCATCGAGAGAGAAGAACCTTCATCAAAAAGGGCAAACACTTCCTCGACGGCATTCGGACCACGAATCTTCACTTTTCCCACTCGGAGCAGTGTGTTGACGTTTTTACCGTTCACGTTACATACGTTCATCTGACTGTCTTGAGTATCCGGTCGGCGAGACGCGGTGGTCATTGGAAGTTCATCATTATGGACCAGTTCGTGATGATTCTTCTCACACATCGAACACTTCTTCTTGGATTTACAGTTTCTTCTTGTGTGATCCGCGCTCAGACAGGTGTAGCAGACCTTGCAAGAATTAGCAGCAGACCGACGTTGAGCAACAGATAACTTGCGGAATTGCTCGCACTTCTCCAAACTATCATGCGATCTTGACGAGCATAGCGGACACTTCGCTGTCTCTTCGGCCTCACGACTGTTGACGTTGAGAACAATCTGCTTCGGCTTCAGTGAGAAGTTTGATTTCTTGGCACTGAAGACAGGATTTAGACTTGCGAGTTGATTGTCCATCTCATCCTCCAACCAGCGAGAGAAAATGTTGAAGTCGATTACGACATCTTCCTTCATCAAAGCGGCCTTGTGTCGAACCCACATCTGCTTGCTGAATGCAGGCAGTTTTTCAGTCAGGTGTGAGATGAGTTCCGGATTCATCAAGTAATTATCCGCCTTGACATTCTGCATCGCAACCTTGGTTCCAATCACCGCGTTGTAGAAAACACGAAAGGACTCGATGTTTCCCTCCTTGATGCTCTCCAGGTTTCTCAGTGTTTCCAATATATTCGCCACCACCCATTCCGTGCGTCCAAAGTAAGATTTCAGCATCCTCATGATCTGCTGTACATTATCAACTTCCTTGGCACATTTGGTCCACATTTTGGTCATCTGAATCGCGTCCCGAGCCGTTTTTCCACTTTTCTTAAGCTTCCGCTCATTATTGCCCAAAATCTCTCGATGGGCCGGAACTGCAGGCAGTTGGGTGGATTTATGTTTTTATCGATGAAATCTACGTTATTATCGTGGTACCACTGGATGACTTCTCGGCTGTAGTGGCAACTCGCCAAATCTGGCCAAAACTTCACGGGACCTTTATGGGCTTTAATGAAAGGTAGTACGCGGTTTTTGAGGCATTCTTCCTTGTACAGCTTCAAGTCCATCGTCTTATTCGTCACGAACACTTTGGTCTTTGCTCCGCAGCTGCATATCCCTTGCCAAATCATCAGTTATTTGGCAAATTTGTCCCTAAAGCAAAAAAAACTTCGCATTTTGACGTAGGTTTCATCGTCGATGAGCAGGCATCCTTGGTACTTCGTCAAAACCTGCTGGTAAAATTTCCGAGCTCGAGTTTTGGTGACGAAACTTTGCTTCAACGTTCTGTTCGGTTGCTTGCTGACTCGATAAGAACGATATCCTGCTCGCAAACGAATTCTTCGAACGGTACTGCGTAAACGTTTGAGCACATCATACACGGTTGATTTGGCGATTTTCAACGTTTTTGCGATTTTTATTGCGGACCACGTTGGACTTTGTTACATGAGGTTGACAATTCCCAAGCCTGCTATAAGGCTGTCCACGAGACAGTTGCGATCAGCTGACTTTTTTGTTTATCAAGAACTTTTGACAGATCACAGTAGAACTGGCAGTTTATTCTCATATGAATTTTTGCTCTGTTTATGTTTATATTCAGCACCATTAACACCAGATCACCCACACACTCTAGATTTCTAGCTGTCTGTTCCACTGAGAAACGTCTCTTGGATCACCTTATTGACAATGGTTATTGCAGAAAAAAGTCGGTCATGTCATTCTCGCATTCTGTCGCGACAAAGCTGCCGCTGGTCGTTTTCTAGTAAATGCATGTCGCTTTGCATACTACACATTGTAGGATTCGGATTTATTAGAACACACGCGTTTACTTTCACTGGATTAGTTTAATCGTTCTTGTTCTGAGACACGTTAACTCACGCGCGCTGGTCGATTACATCTAGTCATGGTGCTCATCGTTGTAGTTCCGCATACCAATATACAAGGTTGCCAGTTCTAATTCTATGGTATAGGACAAGTAGGCATTGTTGAGTCCTTCGAGTTTTTTGAGTGCTGCCGCAAAATGGTTCTTCTAAGTGGTGTTGTGGAGAACTATCCTGGTCGATACTCGGTGTGGATTATGGATGGGGCTCGCATTCATTGTGATGAGAACATAATTTTGTATTTAAGATCATTGGGAATCATACCAATATTTTTGCCAGCGTATTGTCCCTTCTATAATCCTATCGAGATCGTTTTTGGATTGGTTAAGCGATATCTTGAGCGTCGTCTATCATCCCTATCATCATATCGTTGATCCTTGAAGGTATAACAAACAATACAGCTACACTCCAAGCAATCTGCATGATGGACGTCAGCCAAATCGGTCACTCGAGAGGTGAGCCTACGGCTGAATTCTGTTTCTTCAAGTGGAAAAGAAGTTTACATTGCATCAAAGAGCGATCTTGAGTTGCAAACTTCCGCCTTCAACTCGTGCACCTGAATTTGAATATCAGATACACCTTTTACCAAGGAATCAACTTTCTCACATAACTTGTTTACTGTCACCAGCAGACTGTCATGGATGTTGTATGCAATCTTCAGCCCTTGGCTAGAGTCGGTGTATAATGAGTCACGCCAAGAGAAAAACAGTTGAACTTGCATCACGGTTTTCGAAAGATTCCCTTTCTTTTAACTTGGCAACAGAGGACTTCTGCATCAACTTCAAATGACTTCTAGCGAGGAAAAAAATTAACGGCTGTAGTAATGATTTATATCAGTGATTTTGTCGAATTATCTTAAGGAAAAATAGTAGAAATTGTCATTACTGATCATTACAAAACGTATCGCATGACAAATGTAATGCTCACTGCGTGTATATGATCATTTCTTCTATTATATTTAATATTTAATTGCAATACCTTTCGTGGACCTTTCATAGCATCGTAATGCTTGTTTACTTTGCACGATAGGTAGCCGGTTTGACAGTTCAATAGGTAGACTTGGCTTCACTCTTGGCGTGACTCATTATACACCGACTCTACCCTTGGCGAGTAGCTTGAAGTTGGTTAGCTTCAGACACTGCTGGTGCTCGGAACAAGTGAAGATAATCGTCTGGTGGGGCTTCAGTCATCAGCTTGTCTCTCTGATCACCAGGCTGTGCCAAGATGAAATTAGCCCATTTTTCCCACGATGACCACAGAGCTGTGTAATGCGAGTGTGTATCTTTCAAGTGGTTCACACAATCGAGAAGTTCCTCCGTCGATGGCACTCCAGCCCTATCTTTACTTTCTGGATGTAGCAATTGTTTGTTGGCGATTTCCCGCTCCCTGACGTAATCGCAGTAGAGTACTTGAAAATGTGTACCTGAATTTCCTTTCCTCGCCAACTTGGTAGCAGCTTAGAGTTCTCTTATATCTCGTCCATCGTGTACATTTTCTTAGTCTTTCCGTGCTTCAATAGAACGAATTTCGCCAAATCAGTTATGTCAGGAGAATCTTTACAGGATCATTTTACATGCTTCTCAGTGTCTACTGACTCAACAACTACCTCTCGGGAGATATAATGCTCAACATTCTCCCAAAGGCACTTGAGTAAACTCGTCATGGAGCTGCCAAATATGTTCGTTGAACACACAGGGTCTGCCAGATGCTGCGTCTTGAAAGATCGGACAAACAGTATTCCGGTGAAGTTGAGCATTTTTAAACTCGTCGGCCAATAAGTTGATGGTGAAGTTTATTCGTGATCTGTCTTCACCAATCCCATGTTAACTTGAACCAGGCCTTCAGAACCTTCAGATGTTATATCGTCGTGGGTTGAGTTGGGTGTTCCATCTTCAAAACTCGGCGATTTCTGATCCAGGAACTCAACATCCACGAAATTTATGTCGTCCGCCCAAGTAACAAATCTAGAGCTGCTTGGCTATATTCACAATTTATAAAGGTTTTATTGCAGCTGCAACCATTACCTACAGCTTTATGACAGTCATATACAACGCAAGTCATGGAACATTCTTATAGCTATCTACAAATCCCCTATAAAGCTTATAAAAAAAAACAACTGATGCTTATGCTATTTTCACTTATGAAAGGTTTTATGATTTTTATAATTGATATGTATAAAAAAAAACAATCTAAATTGCCCTTATAAACCCCAAAAATAAATCCTTATATTGCTATATAAGTAAGCGCAATAAAACTAGTTGGTAATGAAACAGTTATTTTAAAAACAATTATAAGCATTCAGTTGCAACTTGTCAGAAGTGTTGAAGTGTAAATGGGCGGTTTATTTTTACAACATAGAAAAGAATCAAAACTTTCCGATACTTCCAAGCGGAGCACAAAGAAAATTGTTAGCATGAGCCCGTTTATTTGAAATCACGCATAACTTTTCATAAAGGTTAATGTACCATTCAAAACTTTTCCAAATGTTTGTAAAATTCATCGGCTGCTTTTTGCCGTTTTCGTTCGCTTTTTTATTAGCTTCTCAAATATTGATTTTAGGGGTATAGTTTATTCACAGGTGTTTTTGCATATGTTAAACCGCTTATTTTGAATTAGACGGTTTGGTGATTAATCCACCTGAAAGTGAGATAAAAAAATATTTTTTTTACCTGATTCATATGGAGACTTAACATCTTGAAAAAAGTTGTAGCAAATGTTATTTTAAGCAACATTGCTGCAAATACAAAATTTCTAGTTCTTACATATTACAAGATATATATCGTTTATCATGGAGGCGAACCAGCCCAAGGCTGAAAGCCTCCTTAATAAAGCTAAATAATAATAATAATAATATATATCGTTTTTCGTGAAAGGTCCCTTTAAATCATGTTTTTTTAGTATAACTGTTTTTCTAAATATCTACAATTTTGATTACTTGTAAAACTTTATTTTGCATGTTAAAACACATGTTTTTGCTAAACTAAAATTGTAACTCATTACCTCTTGAAACAAATAACCTTTTCCGGTTCAAATTGGCGCAGAAACCTAGGTAGGATTCTGAATAAATACTTATTTTACTGCCGAAAAGTTATAAAAACATGTGGCAGCACACGATCTTTTATGTGTTTTTTTGATAACTAAAAAACTTCTGCAAATGTCTAATTTTTGAATACCTATTTTAATTTTAAGAGTTAGCATGTTACAATGCTCAGCAAAAATATGTATTTTTGTATCGCAAACAACTTTGTAGAATATGTTAAATATGTTGAAAATCTAGGAAAAAGTTAAACTAAAAACAATTATTTAATGGAGCATTACATTTACCCGTTTGTTATTGCATTCATTAGTAGAGCTTAAGCGTCTTCTGCAAATGATTTTACACCAATCTCAATACTTCCCACGCTTTTCTTCGTGAAGCGCACGTGTTTATTTACATTGCTCGATTGGAAACGCGTTTGACGGTTCGATTGGAACTTTTGGCTTCAGTCTTCGCGCGTCTCTTATTTAACATCGTCTCTGTATAATATGGGTATCTTCGGAACGAGGACGAAGAGTAGATTCCGAAAATCAGAATGCCAAAATGCCGGATTCCATAAATGGCGTCAGACATCGATTTTCCGTCTATTTTAAGGGTATTTGAAAATTTTATAAAAACAGGGGTGCCATCTTAGATTTCAAAATTGCGTCGGACATCGGTTTTGGCCTCTATATCGTCCATATTTCAAAAATACCCATATTGTGGGGGTATTTGACAGTACCTACTTTCCAGATTATCTGTAATCGGAACCGGAAAACCTTGAATTTCAATATGGCGTCGGACAGCAATTGTTGGTCCCTAGCTGTCACCCAGATTCCGAAAATACCAATTGTACCCATTTGACAGTATTTCCATAGAGGTAACTCTAAGAC